TTACAATTACATGGGCAAGGTAATGAGTACATTTCTTATCAAGCATTGTTGCCTCCTCCTTTGTTTCCCCTTCCCATCCCTTCCCATCTCCCACCCCAGCCCCCCAGCCAAAGTTGTAAAGTTCGTTTTCGACATAAGGACTTGTACATCTCATTGTTGCAATGGGTCACCTGTATGCATATTTAAATGATTTGTTTTTTCCCTTTTCCTCCACAAATTATGTTTTTAATTCAGAAAAACTATCATTACCTTTATTACACATATCTTTTTAATTATTATTTTTATTATTAAATAATTGTTCAGTGAGTTTATTATGCTATGTCAGGTTGTGAGAATAATGCGTTTTGAACAATGTCACCCCTTCCATCATTCTGTCCCATTTTCTCCCTCCCATCCCTCCTCTCAAATTATGTAGTTCAATGATTACATTTTAGCTTAAAATTTAGGTTAATTTTTGAGACACTATGTTACTGTTTTATAACAAGTCTTAGAATTGATTTATGTTTTTCCACTGTCTTATTTCTGTTCTGTTTGACTGTCAGCTGCAATTCTAGCTGGGTTTCCATAGTTACTTCTGTATGTTTGCTTAAAATATTCACTTTTGTTTATTTGAAATGCTAATGTACACATAGCATTGGTCTTTTTGCCATGTAACAAATTACTGCAAACATAGCAGCTTAAAACAACGTCCACTTATTGGCTCACAAGTCTGTAGATCAGAAGTTCCTGCAAGGCTACCTGGGCTCATCTCCTCAGTGTCTCTCAGGGCACTGGCACAATAATTTACATTGGAACTTATTGCTCTCTACTCATATGGCTCAGATTGTCGGTGGCATTTTTTCAGTTGTCCACCGAAGGTTCCCATTACCTTGCTGATTCTCACCTGGGGACATTCTCTGTGACTAGAGGCTGTTTGCATTCTTCCTCCTATATTCTCTTCAGTCTTCAAGTCTGACAATAGAGAATATCTCTTGGCATCAAATTCCTCTTTTCTTTTCAAGCTTCTGATTCTAGCCAGTCCCTCTTACTGGTTTACTCAAGTAAGACCAATGCATGCTGAATTATTTTCTTTTATTCAATTGTATCATATAGCAACTTAATAACAGGGATACATAGGTCATATTCAAAATCTTTATGCAGGCAACATATTGGAAGGTAGAGTCTTCTGGATGTATCTTAAACTTTTGCTTACCACAATAGGGACATAGTAATTACCAGTGAGTTCTAATTAAGTGAGAAAAATTTAGCAAAAATGAAATTTAGAAAAGATTGCTTTATAAAGTATTGTTTTAATACAATTCTTTATGTATTTGGAAGCCTCATAAATACTTACAAACTGGTGGGAAACAATTTATTTTGGTTTTAATTTGACATTGTATTGCTAACAAGTCAAATTTAAGCAATTAATGGAAGAAGACAGTTAAGTGGAGAGTCAATCCTGGAATCTATTTTTTGTTTAAATAAGGAGCTCTACTTCTGCATATATTAGTTGAAGATTAAGATTCTTCTCTAGTTTGCTTCTTATTGCTCTCCTATTTTCATTTTCAGCAGGAAGGATCTTATTCCAGCTGTGGCCTTACTGATTTCTTCCCATTAGATAGGACTACAAATTGAATTGCCTCTTAAGGTAATATATTTTGCCAACTTAACCTTGTTAGACAGTTACCTGTTTCCGATCTTGCCTGGGAATACCTATCTGGGAAAGCATACACATCTGTATCCCAATCCTATTATTGCCAGAAAGCCAGGAAAGCTTATCAGACTTGATCTTGTCATCCAGCAAGACAAGAATCCAGGCAAGATGCAAAAGTAGTGAAAATGATAGGTATTTTATTGGAAAAAATATGGTAGAGAAAGAATATACATGGCATAATGCCCAGGATGACTGCACTTAGTTCAATGCCAGCCATCCTTAGGATACAGACATGAGCATTAGGATTAAGTAGAGAAAAAATGGGTCGGGGGGAAGGGGAGAAGACACGCAAGGGACAAAGATATGGTTAGCTGAAGAGTCCAGGTAACAGGTGTAGCCTGGTTAGTTATCACCTCAGTTTTGGTTCTCCTGGGTTATGAAGAAGTTGCCACTGTCAGCACTTGAGGGGAGGAATCTAGTACCCATGAGATAACTTCTCCCGCTCCAGCGTTCAGCCTTATTATTACTGGTCCTATCCATAATTGGGGGTGATCTAGCCTGCAAAGCTCTGTCTGCTATTCCTTGGATGTAGTTTTAGTCATTTGTTGTAAAGATATTGTGGGTCATTCCTGTTTTTCTGGGAACTCAAGTGACTGCAAAATGACTGGAGGGAATGTTTTAGAACAGTTACAAACATGAAATAGAGGCGGAGATGGCAAGCTGGCCTGTTTTTAGTTAATTCATGGTAATAAAACCAGTATAAATCTCTGATACTATAAATCCCTGAGAGAGAGACAGAGGCAGACACAGAGAGACAGAGACAGAGACAGAGACTCAGAGAGACAGAGAAAGAGACAGAGAGAGAACAACACCATTAGCCTTTGGGATTTGAGTATTTATTGAAATTGCCTGTTAGGTATTTCTATCAAGTCCAATCTACTGGGCTAAGGTCACCTGTAAATCTGGAAGTTTCATTAAAATATTTTATCCTAGAAATCTGTGATTTGATTTTTCCACTTTAAGTTCCTTTTGCATATCTTCATCTCTCATGGCTATTGTCATCTTAATCATCTTTGATTTATGATGAAGTGATTATATTCATGTAACAACACAATTGGTGAGAATATTTTGAAGTGTAACTATGTCTTGAAAGCCTGTTTTAGGTGACAATAGATAGTTTTAAGGAAACAAAGCTTAAGTAATGTACTTCATGCAAGATAGTAATTTGTGAAATGGATCAATGCTTCAAGAAAATTTGCTTTTATTAGAAATCGACAGTCAGACAAATGTCTTGAGTCATCACTTTCCTAACATCCACCCGCAAACAGAATGATAAAAAGAGTTTTCCTTTCCTAACTGTATTAAGGTTTTTTAATAAAGTCACTCTCGGACAATGCCATATAATTCTAGTCATTTGTCCCAAAGGGCAAGAAGTCACCTTCTTGAGAAGAAGTGATGAGGAGGGAGACTAAGCAAGACTTTTATCTTTGGAAACCCCCCGAAGAGGGCAGAAACGAAGGCCAAGAGTCCTGGCAAAATTTGTCAGCAATGTCTCACCCACATTCCTGTTGTAGGAAAAGAAATGGACTCATCCCCACCCTCCACTATGTTAGGAAGAGAACAAAGGTTAGCAGAGTAGCAGGGTCCAGCACAGGGAGAGTGAGGCGCAATGCAGTATGGTGCCATGCCATGGTATGTCATGCGGTGTGGTGCGCGGAAGAAGATGCCTAAGAACGATGCGCCTGAGCCGCAGGGAAGCTGCGCAGGTGGCTGGCACACTCCGCCCACTGCCCACCCCCACTGCCAGTGTAGTCACCTGGACACCGGTAACGGACTGCAGGCTTCGCGCCTTGAATGCAGGGAAATACAGGGAAGAGAGGAGCTGGGCTGGTGAGTTGGGAGCTGTAGGTGACGCCCTCTCCTCTGGCCAGTATTGTGGGCCCACCCACCATTCACTAGCATCATTAGGATACTGTGGTACCTGAGCTACTCCAGTGGCCAGAGCTATCATCTCACTGTCCTGGCCAGAGGGGAGGTGGAGGAAGAGAACATCTCTCTGGGAGTCTGAGAACCATCTCTAAGGCTGGGAAAGAAGGCAGTCTCCCTCTATTTGTGCACTTGCTGAGGTCACATTATTTGCAACTGCATCTCTATGGTCTAATTATGAAAATGATTATCTTGACTTCGGATTCACTTAGAAGGCCACCATGTGGTGGTTCATGTATTATGTTTCGAACTGTACTTAATTCCTTCCATTGTGATTTCAGTGCTAAATTTTCAAGTGTCCACTCAACTCAGATGTTGAACAGCTTCCTAAGTCATAGGTTGGGAATTTTTGTATTTATTTATTTGTCTAAACCACCACAACTGAAAGACCTCACGCTGCAGATGAGGAAAGCCATCCTCAGAACTGACTGGCCCAAAGTCAAACCCAGCAAGCCTCAGATCCAGGGCAAGGGGGTTTTCTGACTCCTAATTCAAGCCACTGTCTGTGCTTCTTGACATTCATCCACAGCTCCATAAATATGTAATTGACATGGTAGTTTCCCACTTCGACTTGCCTTGTATTATTAATGCTTCTGGCATACTGGGATTTGTCTTCAGTTCCTTTCTGGGTTGAGAGGAATTGTTTATTGGTATTGCTTTGACAATAGATTCTATATGCCACCAATTAGCTCTGAGTTAAACAAGTCAGAAGAAAAGGATGATGAACTGTAAGAAAGATTGAGCAATCCATAGAATTTTTAGCTTATATGTTTACATTGAATGATTTGGACATTTAGACTAAAGCGCATTACATCTATCTTAAATACATAATTCCTCTCATTATATTAGTGTATTTAAGACTGTTTTGATTTGTAATTATCTGTAAGTAGTTGTACAAAGGAGTTGTCATTTAACAAAGCAATCATGAATACAATATATCTTGATCAATGTCACTCCTTTCAACTTTCTTACCCATCCTTCCCTTACCTACTGCTTCCCTCACCTTTTTTAAAGATGGATTCTTTTTTAAAAATATTTTTACTGTAAAGATACTGTACAGAGGGGCTACAGTTAGATGAGTAAGGTAATGAGTACATTTCCTATCCAGCTTTGTTACCTCCTCCTTTGTTTTTCCCCTACCATCCCATCTCTCCCTACCTCAAGTCCTCTCTTCCTTCCCCCAAGGTTGTAAAGTTCATTTTCAACATAGTGTCTTGTATATCTCATTGTTACAATGACACAATGTGCATTCTTATTTTAATATTTTGTTATTTCCTTTCCCCTCCCCAATTAAAAAATGTATATACATGATGCATGGTACCAGAATCAAATACAGTGAAAACAGAGGTTATACCATGGGGGAAGAACATACAAAAGAAACAAAAATCACATAGTACATTTTAATTACATTAAAAATGAAAGAAAGATAAAAAAACCTCTTGTGTTCCTATCTGGGAGTTCATTTCAGTTAACATCATCTTATATGGTCATATGTACATAGCTTTTGACCCTTACTGCTTGTCCTAAACATTTACTAGTTATTGCAAATAAGGGAAACCATGGGACCTATGGGACCTATGTGTCTTTGGGTCTGGCATACTTCACATAATATAATTATTCCAAGTCTTTCCATTTGCTAACAAATGGGGGCCATGCCATTCTTTCTAATGGAGGCATAGAATTCATATATATAAATACATATATATTTACACACACACACACACACACATACACCACATTTTCTTGATACATTCATCTACTGAGGGGCATTTGGGTTGGTTCCATATGTTAGCTATGGTGAATCATGCTGTGATAATCATAGTTGTGCATAGCTTTAGTATGGCTTTGTTTGTTTTCATTTGGGTAAATGCCCAAAAGTGGGATTGCTGGCTCATAGGGCAGATGTATGTAAAGTTTTTGAGGAACCTCCATACTGCTTTCCAGAGTGGTTGAAGAAGTTTACACTCCCAACAATATTGCAATAGGGTTCCCTTTTGGCCACATACCTTACAGCATCTGTTGTTATTATATTTCTTGATTATAGCCATCCTAACTGGGGTAAGGTGGTATCACAATGTTGTTTTTGTTTGCATTTCTTTTATGGCTAGGAAAATTGAGCATTTCTTCATGTATCTATTGACCATTCCTATTTCCTCTTCAGAGAATTTTCTCTGTAAGTCTTTAGCCTACTTATTAATCAGTCAGTTGTTTCTTTGAGGATTTGTTGTTGGGGGATTTAATTTTTTTGAGTACATATGAGACCCTTGTCTATTGTATGGCTAGTGAAGATCTTCTCCCAATCCATGGGCTTTCTATTGATCTTCCTAGCTATGTCCTTTGCCAAGCAAAAGCTCTGAAGTTTCATGCAATCCCATTTGTCCAACATTTCTTTGATTTGTTGTGTTTCTGAGTCTTTAATAAGAAAATTTCTGCCAGTGCCAAGGAGCCTAGATTTTCTCCTATTTCCTTCCTGTAATGCTTTGAGGGGATCTACTTTGACTCCGATATCTTTAATCTATTTGGAGGTGATTCTGGTGCAGAGTGATATATAAGGATCTAGCTTTAGTTTTCTACAGGTGTTTAACCAGTTTTGCCAGCACCATTTACTGAAGAGGCTGTCTTTCTTCCATTCTAGTTTTAGCTCCCTTATTGAAGGTTAAGTGGCTATAGGTCTGTGGGTTCATTTCTGTGTCTTAAGTTCTATTCCATTGGTCCTTATGTCTGTTCTTGTATCAGTAACAAAGCTGTTTTGATTACTATGTCTTTGTCGTAGAGTTTGAAATTTGGCATTGATATTTCTCCAGCACTATTCTTTCTGCTAAGGATTGTTTTTGCTACTCATCACTTTTATAGTTCCATATGATTTTTTTGGGTTGCTTTAGCAGTATTGCTTTTAGCAGTATTGCCATTTTCATGATGGTAATCCTCCCAATCCAGGAGCATGGGAGGTTATTCCACATCCTTAGTTATGCTTTAATTTCCTTTTTCAGGTTTTTAAAGTTTTCATCATAGAGGTCCTTCACTTCTTTAGGTACATGAACTCCTAGGTATTTTATTTTTTGTGGGGCTATTACAAATGGAGTTGCTTTCCTAATTTCAGCCACACTTTTCTCATTGTTGGCATACAGAAAAGCCATTGATTTAGGGCGGTTAATTTTATATCCTGCTACTTTGCCAAAGTTTCAGATCAGCTTGAATACCTTGCAACTGCAGTCCCTGGGGTACTTTAAATACAAGATCATGTCATCTGCAAATAGGGAGAGTTTTATTTCATCTTTCCCTATTTGGATCCCCTCTATGTTTGCATCTTGTATTATTGCTCTAGTCAGGTATTCTAATACTAAATTGAAGAAAAGTAGAGAGAGTGGACATCTTTGTCTAATTCTTAAATTTAGAGAAAATGGCATTAGCTTTTCGCCATTAAGTATAATGCTGGCTATAGGTTTGTCATACACAGCCTTTATTATATTGAGGAATGTTCCATGGATTCCTAGTTTTTCTTGAGCTTTCATCATAAAAGGTTGTTGGATCTTGTTGAATGCTTTTTTGCATCTATTGAGATAATCTTATGGTTCTTATCCTTACTCTTGTTGATGTAATATATTAATTGATTTGCATATATTGAAACAGCTTTGCATCCCTGAAATGAATCCTGTTTGAACATGGTGTATGATGTTTTTGATGAGTTGTTGAAGTCCATTGGCCAAAATTTTGTTGAGGAGTTTTGCATCAATGTTAATCAAAGAAATAGGGCTATAGTTCTCTCTCTTTGATGAGTCCCTGCCTGGTTTTGGGATGAGGGTTATCATGGCTTCCTAGAAAGAGTTTGGTAGTGAACTTTGAATTTCAATTTTATTAAAGAGTTGGAGGAGTATTGGTGTGATTTCTGCTTTAAAGATCATATAGAATTTAGCTGTAAATCCATCCAGTCCTGGGCTTTTCTTTGGTGGGAAGGATCTTACTGCTGTCTGTATTGCGATGATAGATATGGTCCTGTTAACTTGGTTTAAATCATCTTGGTTTAGTTTTTGCCAGGTTGATCTATCCAACAGGCACAGTGTTTTGTTAAAGTCCGCAATAACTAATGTCTTTGGATCTACATGAGATTTGATGGAAAATGTGGGGGGGAGGGGTTGGATAAATTTGGGTGCTCCATTATTTGGTGAATAGATATTTACAATTGTTATATCTTCCTGAAGGACAGATCCCTTTATCTCTTTTCAGTAATTTTAATTTGAAGTCTATTTTACCTGATATCAGAATTGCAACTCCTGTGTGTTTCTGGCAGCAGTTTGCTTGGTAGATTTAATTCCATCCTTTCACTTTCAGAAGGTTTGTGGGTAAGGTGTGTCTCTTGAAGGCAACTAGACAATGGTTGTCACTTAATTGAAAAGTTAAGTCTATTAATATTAAGTCCATTAATATTGAGTCCATTATGATTGAGAGGTGTTTGGTAGTTCCTGCCATGTTATCCACCTTTTTGGGGGCTCTGTCCATTGGGTTCTTCCTATTATTCTTGGATTCTCTGTTTGGGGACTATTTCTTGGCCTTTATTGTGCTCTTGTTGGTTTTCTATGTGTAAGACATCTTTGAGTATTATCTTTTGTAGGGTTGGTTTGGTGGAGATACATTGTTTCAATTTTTCCTTGCTGTGGAAAGTTTTTATTTGACCTACTGTTATGAAGGAGAGTTTTGCTGGGTACAGAATTCTTGGTTGATAGTTGTTTGTCTTTAGGGAGTGGCATACATCATTCCAGGCTCTTCTTGCTTTCATTGTCTCTGCTGAGAAATATGAAGTTATTCTGATTGTTTTCCCTTTATAGGTGATTGATGTTTTCTCTTGACAGATTGTAGGATCCTTTCCTTGGTCTCAATTGATCCTGTGCAGATTACAATATGACGGT